ATGTAGTATGGCAAACTGGGCAGATGAACATTGATACTTTGTTCTCAATCGATTACGACCGACAGGTCAAATCAGCATCAGCTACTTTTATGTTGAGACCTTAGGTGATATCTCTCAACTACCCTAATTTGTTTAAGGTATGACTACTCAGTCTGATTTTCTTTTATTAAGGTATATTTTAAGCAAGAGCATTTTAATAGGTTAAAGAAAATAAGTGTAAACAAGGTATGAGTGAACATACAACTGACAAATGGAAGCGATTCAGGAAGGATCTGAGAGTATGAGATTATATGTGCTCATAAAATATAGTGCTAAAAACAGTATTATCATATACAATTGGCTATCTTCCTTTTTTATCGAAGCTATTGTAGCCCTTTTCATTTTTTTCTATCATTATTTTTTTAGGTATCATAGGGTATTGAGTAGGCTTCGTATATTAGCGAATTGCCTAGTTTGCTTGTAATAGGATTACTGGGTAGGAAATGAAACCAATTGAAAGTTCTTAACACGATTTAATGAGGTATTTTGCATGATAAACCATAATTAATACCTTAAGTTCGTAACACCCCACTAAACCATAAGGAGCCGTAATTAAACAAAATGTTCTGCCCAACGGACATGGGTGGATTGAAGTTATCTCCCCACCATCATGTTTGCTGGTCAGTAACGCCACCCTCCAGACTAAAGACATCGAGTTCTTTAATGATCATACTATCCAGCATACGTGTGGGGGGATTTGTATGCGCTGACAGGAAGGGTGCTTCTATGGTATTTACACCGCTAAAGTAGTTTGAGAACGCTTGAGCCTCACCAAAGTCGTCCAGCACTAATGATGCAGCAGTATTGTTTCCCCATAGTGCAGGAATATTTCCTCTGTGATATAGATTGTTTTCCTACGCTCACTACTCAGATTCATGTTTCCAATTTTATGCTGGACTAGCTATTCTATTAAGACAACCTATAACATGCTAACTCGGACTTTTACACTAGGATTGCGTGGTTGGCATCAGATGGATAAAAAGAGGAAAAAAATGAGACAACGAAAGATATGGTCATTAGTATTCTTAACACTTCACCCTCTATATACACTCCCTTCTAATAAATCGCTTTCCTTGTACCAGCCTTGAATTCCTTTCCTTCATGTGAGCTTTTCGTGCCTTGAAGTAACCCTCGTGCTATTGATAGAAGAAACCAGACAAGTAGTGAATAGGTCTTTATTTCGATCTTCGCGCAGTCACAGTGGAGCGTGGGATTATCTGTTCAGACAAACAAAGCCTCTCAACATTCAATATAAGATAATAGGGAATATGACGCTTATAAAAAATAAGGAAGTGAATGAATACTTGAACAATACTGTTTTGGCATAAGCTTGGTTGTTTGGGGTCAACTCTTAACCAACCAACCCGAGCTGTTACAAGCTTACTACAACTCGTTAAACGACACAACTCATTGTTCTTTATTACCACATTCTCAGTATGGAGCCTCTGACTTCATTTCAATCTAACAAGAGATAATATGAACTTATTCTAATCTATTATACCTCTGTCTGTTATACTACACAGTGTTAAGCAACGTTTGGCGTTCATATCCAAGTGCCTTGCTGCTCTTCTGTTTCTCTTTTTTTTCTTCAGAAATTCGCTCTGAGGGCACAGCTATGAAACTTCTGACGTCTGGAACAAACTTGACGTACGTGTCCCCTCAAGATCACGGTTTACAGCAAGCGCCCTACGAGTATACTGCATAACAACTATAAACGTAATAAGATGCGAAGCATTTTGTGAACCAAAAAGTGTTGTAATATATAGGTCGTGCCTGTAAAAATGGCGTGTACCTGCGCATGCAGAAATATATATTATTATTATTAAAAGGAACCAGACAAGTAGTGAATAGGTCTTTATTTCGATCTTAGCGCAGTCACAGTGAAGCGTGGGATTATTTGTTCAGACAAACAAAGCCTCTCAACATTCAATATAAGATAATAGGAAATATAACGCCTAAGCAAAATAAGGAAATGAATGAATACTTGACCTATACTGTTTTGGCATATGCTTGGTTGTTTGAGGTCAACTCTTAACCAACCAACCTATGCTGTTACAAGTTCACGGTCTTCCAAATATATTTGGAAATGGCACCTCGTGCAAACTGCAACCTTGGCCTAAGAAAGAGTAATGTGACCACAAGGTTAGATGTTGGATGACATATCGTTAAATGTCACTGTACTCAAGTAATCACAAGTTTTTTCAGACGACGTGGCTAGTCCAAGTAGTTTGCTTTTTACGTTTCTTCTTAATGGTCCAACTTTTGTCTTTGTAAGTAGAACATCTAGAATGCGTATTCTACATTTACTTTCTTCCACATATTTGAATTTCATCATCAGATGAAATTCATTAATTCGCTAGCGTCCCTTTCTTGTCATTATGTTCGTCCCAAACATTTGATCGTCAAACACATTGCCAATTAAGAAAGAATCGCATTACACACTAAAAAACCTAGTACGGCTGGAGATAAAACTATCATGATAATTTACACCAGTCAGCACAACCTATCCATTTTCCGTATTGCTGCAAATATGTAAAAACCAGTCAACATTCAGTAAATACTTCATGACACTTTATCACAAGGTTATTAAACGTCATCATCAAGTATTTTCGCTAGATAAGTGGCTGTGTTTCTGCAGTCATATGGTTCAGGAAATTGGAATTTTCTCACTGCATACAACTACGAGAATTAGCGAAATAATGTGTTCAGAAGGAACACCGTGCAAAATGTTATCGTTTGTGAAATTAATTATTGTTGAACCTGTCAAAAGTAGGCCTTGTTTCATGAAAAGATAGTTCCCATATACCTGCCAAAGATCCTTGTCATGTTAGTGGTACATGTGAGGTAGAATGTTGCACAATGAAGTTCAGAATTGGGTTATTGGCTATAGGAGGAATATACCGTAGTCCGTGTTGTCTTGCTGACGACTTTATCTTTAGACACATCTGCTCATGGAGTAAGGCAGAATGTAGTCTCATCATTGGTGACTTCAACGCACCACATATCAACTGGATAGAGCTTACAGTTCCAGGTGAGGGTTTCGATAGAGACCCTCTATCAACTATTATTCAGTGTGCACTTGTACAACGTATCGCAAAACCGACACATATTGACATGGAACATGACTCGTCATTGCTAGACCTTGTCTTCGCACACCACTGTGAGGATGCCGTCGACGCTCAGCACCTTCCCCCCACTAGTGAATAGTGACAACTTTGTACTGTACTTTAAGTTTAGAACACACGATATACAATTTGTATCCTTATTGCAATCTTTCTTTTACACATTACCACCTCTGAATTAACTACTTTTATGAATCCGCTGTCCATCTTGTTGTGTTAATGAGGTATGGTAGCTTGGACCGATGCATATATGTGCCTGGTCCTACGTTGTAGCTGACTGACTGATCTGTTAACTCCCGAGCAACATGAGTTTCGTAAAAAGCGTTCATGCTTGACTAACTTATTGCGAGAGGGGATTGAAAAGCAGCCATAGATAACGGTCTGTCTGCCGATGTGATGATCATAGAATTTAACAAAGCATTTGACAGGGTTTCACACTTAGGTCTTATGCAGAAGCTCTCGAGCTTCGGAATAATAGGTGCCGTACAGGAACGTATGGGAAACATCTTATGTGACCACAGACAGAGATTGAAGGTCAATGGAATGCTATCTGAATACAAGCCGGTCAAAAGTGGTGTACCCCAAGGCACTATCTCAGGCCCTCTACTTTCCCTTATCTAAGCTAATGAATTATGCTGTTGCTTAAGTCGTCGACATTACTGTTTGATGATGTCAAAATCTGGAGAACAATAAGAAATGAGGCTGATCATTTGGATCTTCAAGCTGACTTGGATTAATCAGTTAGATGGGCTCAAAGTTGGGGCTTATAAGTTGGTTCTAGGAAGAGTGTGCTCATGCACATCGGACGCGGTAATAGTTACAAGTATACTATTGATGGTACATCTCTTCCAAGCGTTCAAGAACATAAAGACTTAGGAGCAATAATAATTCATGACTTGAAAAAAACTACATAGTGCAGCGCAGCTGCTGTCAAAGGTTTTCGTGCATTACGGTCACTTCGCCAAGCATTCAAATGCTTTGACGAGGAAATGTTTCGCATTTTATATCCTACCTATGTAAGACTACGCTTAGAGTACTGTATCCAAGCTGCTAGCCCATGTCTGATAAAGGACACTAACTCACTTGAGCGTATTCATTGTGTGGGAACAAAATTAGTGAAGGGTCTTTCTAAACTCCTCTACGATGAGCGCTTAAAACGCCTAAACATTTTCCCCTTGTCGTATCGCAGGACGCGAGGTGATCTTATACTGGCATTTCGTATCTTTAATTATGATTTGAGTGTTAATATGTTCTATATTTTTGCTCCCTCCAGCACCAATAATCTCCGAGGCCATAGCAAGAAGGTTCATAAACCGCGACCTAATAAACTTAAAGTGAGGTTCGGTTTTGCTCATCCAGTAGTCAATAACTGGAACGCCTTACCCGAACAAGTGGTATCATCCCCACCAGTGAATATTTTCAAGGAGAAGCTGAACCTTCACTGGAAGGCAATCTGTTAGGATTAACACAGGTTCACCAACCTACCATCCTTATTACTGAGGACTGAAGATCTTTTCTGAAAATAACCAAATAGACTAAAAGTGACGTGTGGGTCTATTGGGATCGTACCTACTCAGAAATGAGTGTGTTTGTGCTGTGTAGCACCGTCTATTACAACGTTTTTGTTTCCGTTTTGTTTATCGCTATCAAGTTCATACCTAGTGATGGCTCTTTTCAATCTGTTTACAATTATCAGAAACCAATATTGGATTCCTACTTTCAGCTATTATTTTCGATTATTGTAGGATCAAGATAAAAAAGCATTCTATAATTTGAACAAATAACTAACCTACAAAGCCTTAGACTCAGAATCCACGAAACAATGCGTTCTTGATTTCAGCTTCATAAAGATTGAACATTCGGGCTACTTGTACATTGAGCAATTTCAGGTCGAAGTTTAAATGATTTGAAGTAGGTAAACAGCTGATCTCTGACGGTTGAGTATGTCAAGGCTAAGTCGTGTTGTCCAAGATATTTTGGTTATGAATACCTCTGAATTAACATGCAGATAAAATTTGTACGTTAAAAATGGCTTTTAAATTAAAGCTGACAAATATTTTTTCTGGAAGTGTGTATTGGTTGGCTGAAAATGAAGTCATTGTGCTGGAACTAAAATTACCAAAAGTATTGCGCTAATTGTTGACCTGTTGTGCAAGTACCAGCAATTCGTTGACTTTAAATGCATTTTTCTGCTCATTTGAGGTATCTGAAAGGGATTCGTGCAATGTCACTCACTCCATATATATATATATATATATATATATATATATATATATATAATTGTGTTTCTAGGTGAAGTTTCACTTCGGTAGATGACGGGGCTCACATCTCTCGTTTTCTAGGGAAAATTTTTCAAACTCCGAGTATGCTACCTACTTTTTTCAACCATTTTATATATACGATACTAACTAGTGTACAGTTTTTATCGCATGACTAGATACACGTTAGAACGACTAGAAACTGGTCTTATCGGCTGATTCAAGCATTTACGGTCGACTTATGGTTTTCTATTGTTTCCAAAACGCTCACCAACGAGTGGTATGTTATTAAGTTAGACTGAATTCGTTTAGTTATGAAAATGTAAAGTATAACGCACGTACTGTTTCAAGCTATCATACGGCGAAGAAAGTTAGCTGAACGAAAGCAAAGAAGTCCAAGTGCTCATATTTGTCATAATGGGGTCTGAAGGGATGGGGTTAGCGGACCTCATTAATACTTCCAAAGTATCTAGAATCAAATATTAGAAGCTGACTCATATCTACTCCCCTAAGCTATATTTCACAACTTCAGAGTAATACAGGACTCACTGCTGTGCTTTATATTGGCCTGATAATTAAGAGACGAATCTCACCTGCACAAATATACCAAAGACAAGAGAGTATTTTATCCACTTCTTTCAGGTTATCATTAATTGTCCGTAGTTTTTGGTTTAGCGAGAGTTACTATAACGAGGTTGTATCGTTTGTGTTTTTTATTCATAACGGAAATAGGTATTTTGTAGGAATTAGAGCTCTTTGAAAATGCTTATTGTGTGTGTGCGTCACCTGGTATTTTTTAGAAATGCCACTAAATAATCATTCCATTTGTTATACGATGCGATTCAGTCAATGCATTCGAAAGTTGCATTTGTTTGTGCTGAATATTACAACTGTTGGAATCTCGCATGTTTGTCACATCTTCAAATATATAGATGATCGTTTCAGTATAACCTTATCGAATAACAGTTTATTTTGAACAGGGACACATCAGTATTGCGTAGTCGTTGCCCCTTGATTTCGCGGAGATCGATACTTATTGACGCAGCAACGACAGACATTCCGGCAATAAAAGTTTGATTTCTCCCACGCATTACGTAGCTCTGTAGGCTAAAGTGCTTCTTACCCGATCTAGGTCAATGAGTAGAGAGATTAGTTGAAAATACTTATGCTCTGCATAAAATAATAAACTTTTGTTGAGTTATGGTACAACAAGTGGTGTAATTTGGCCTCCGAATTTGAGCCAAGTTCTGGATTTTTATTACCGTCACACCAATTTGTCGACTGTAATTTGACCTGCAAGAGTAATCCTCGCAATTGATTCTTGAATGTGTTGTTTCTGGTTCCACATCAAGGTAACTTTGAAAACCAAATAAAGATAACCAGATATCGTTTTCATTAGCAGCAAAAATATGTTGTTGTACTGGATAGACAGCTTCTGAGAAGTAGATATTTTGGCGTATACGTAGGGAAAAAGTAAACAATTCAGCGACATTTCGGAGAGAGGCACAAAAAGTGTGGAATACGCGTTATTTACCTCGGACTGGCGAAATAGAAGTCATTTTGGCTCGTTTCGCCTTTTTTAGTTGATTGGGATATATTTCCTACATCAGTTAATATAATACTTTTCAGAGTCTTTAATAATTAAAATAATGTTTAAGGTAATATTCATTACTACGACTGTTTGTTTGTTTGTTTTAATAATTCCTTAGTAATAGTCTTGTGTCTCTTGCATGGTTCATGCCTGGTATTTGGATGTTTATAATTTAGTATGATTTGACTAGTACATGAGCACTGGAATTCAGGTGCTGGCCACAGGATTTAGATGAATGTTCACCTGAACTGATCTGACGTATGAAGTGTACAACTTCTCTAAATAAATTCAGTCGTTACTGACGTTATAAGTAGAAAGTAGTAATGATTGATGAGGTCGTGATGTATGAATTCTTTTTTCAGTTTCCAATAATGTATCACGATTTTCCCTTGCATAACCCTCTGATCTCCTGTAGGATGTTGAAACGCCGAAATCTGTTCAATTGGTTCGGTTCAAACCTCAGTTGTGTTACATATGTAAATTCAATCCATTCAGTTGCCTGTGCAATATCAGGCGGTGTAGATAGTGCTGTATCTGCATATCTTCTCAAGAAGAGAGGTAGATTATTTTTTACGACGAATTTGTACATTACTTCAGGATTTCAAGTCAAAGGTGTATTTATGACTAACTGGGATTCCTTGGATGAAAATACTGACTGTTCTTTAGACAAAGACCGTCAAGATGCTCAGTTTGTTTGTGATCATTTGGGGATACCTTTTTTCGAGAAAAATTTTGTTAAAGAATATTGGAATTACGTGTTTTTGTAAGTGTTTCATTTCTATATACGGATTATCATAATGCCGGTTATTTCACTTATTTAGACCGCTTATCAAGTCCTATGAGCAGGGAGCTACACCAAATCCAGATATATTGTGTAATAGATTTGTAAAATTCAATTTGCTAACAAGGGCAGTGTTAAAAAGCAAGAACCAATGCGCTGATGATGACGTTCAAGCATCTTCAAATTTGGCTGCAGACGCAATTGCCACTGGCCATTACTGTCAAAATTCTTTTGGAAATTATCTGCAATACCGAAAGGACAATATTGAGGCCAGATTATTACGTTCTGTTGATAGAGTGAAAGACCAGACATTTTGGCTATCGACTGTAAGAGTTGATGGTGATCCTACGATACAGACATAAATTATCTGAAGCATCCACCATCAAAGCAAGTGGGGAAAGAGAATTCGGATATATCAACGTAGTTGCTTGAGCTAATTTATCTTTAAGCTGTTTGATAGCTTCGATGGCGTCAGAAGACAGTTTGAATTCTTTTGGTTTTCCTTTAAGTGAATCTGTCAAAGGTTGCATTAATTGTGCACAACCTGGTATGAATCTGCGATAAAAGTTAATTAGGCCTAGAAAACTTCTCAGTTGTGTTAGAGAACTAGGTACGGGATATTGTTTGATGGTATCCACTTCTTTTTTGATAGGTTTAATCCCTTCTGGGCTTATTGTGTGACCGAGAAATTCTAAAGTTTGAACACCGAAAACACACTTACTTTGATGTATGTTTATTCCATGTTCATCCAGTCTTTTCAACACTGCTTGTACATGCTGTTCGTGTGATTGCAAATCGGGGCTGGCAATTAACAAGTCGTCTATATACCCCTGCGCAAATGGCATATCTCGAAGTAGGTTATCTATGAATCTTTGAAATGTCTGTGCCGCATTTCTCAGGCCGAGTGGCATGCGTACAAACTCGAATAAGCCAAAGGGTGTAGTAATAGCTGTCTTGGGAATATCTTCATCAGCCACTGGGATATTGTGATATGCCCTGACTAAATCAATTTTAGTGAATATTTTCATACCCTGTAAACCGTTGGTGAAATCTTGGATATGAGGTATTGGGTACCTATCTGGTACGGTTTGACGGTTTAGGGCTCTGTAATCCCCGCACGGTCGCCAGTCACCTTCATTCTTCTTTGGGACCATATGCAAAGGGGATGCCCATTGACTATCAGAGGGACGGATAATACCCAATTGTAGCATATAATCAAACTCGGCCCTAGCGATTTTGAGCTTATCTGGTGCTAGTCTCCTGGGTTTTGCAAACACCGGTGCACCTTCGGTTTTGATAGTGTGACTCACTTTTAGTTTGTCCTTAGAAGGCTGTGGGTTTGGTTTAGTTAAGTTTGGAAATTCCGCGAGTATATCTTGGAATTTCGCTGTTGTTACTGGGGGAGTTTGAATCAAGTTAAGAGAGTTGATGTGACTTTCTTTGCCTTTTGTGTAATACGAAGTTTCTTTTAGTGTTAATCGCCGTTTCTTGGTGTCAACTAGAAATTCGTATCTCTCTAGAAAGTCCATCCCCAGTATTGCCAGATCTAGGTCGGCTACCGTGAAAACCCAAGGGAATTGCCTCCTGAACCCCAAATCTAGGGTTAAAGTTTTCTGCCCAAATGTCGCAATTTTAGTTTTATTTGCAGCTTGAAGTGTAATTGATGATGTTTCTCGACTAATCTCAGTTTTATTTCGAGGGATGATGCTAAGAGCAGCGCCAGTATCCACCAAGAAATTCAAGCCCGAGTTTCTGTCTCTAACATAAAACAAGCGACTGTTTAGGCGCCCCTCCTCAGTCGTCGCGACCTGGGGAGGGGTTACTCGTTTCCCGCTGTCTTAGAATTATGCTTAGGCCAGGCGCATGGTTGCATGCACTTGGTTGAGTTGACACCAAACTTCCAGTGGTACCAACAAAACTGCCCAGATTGTCTGGACATTTGTGACTTGGATCGTGGTCGTTGTGGTGACCTGCTCCTGTTTCTATGACCTATTTGCATTCTGGTGACAGCCTCAGTGAGACTCTTAACACTCGCAATGAGTCCTTCTATTACGGGGTCTTTTGCTGATTCTACTTTTTGTGTGTGATTTATTATGCCTGATCCAGTTGGAGGACCTCTTTCCGTTATTCTGTCGGCTATACGCGCTAAATGAGATAATGAGATTTCAGGATCCTGTGCATCCAAACAGTGTTGGACGTAGCATGGGAGAGCTTGTATCCATCCTTGCTTTAGGACTGCTTCACCCACTGTGTTATCACCCACTAAGACTTGGAGGTGACGTAAAAATTGTGACGGCGACCGATCACCTAGTGTTTCACCTTGAAAAAGTCTTTGGATTCTTTGACTATCTGATAATGATAAACGGTTCATTATCTCTCGTCTTAAGATGGTGTATGGTTGTGGTGATGGTGGACTTAAAATCAAGTCACGGACTTCTTTGGCGACTGAAGGAGGAAGGATAGAACACTGTTGGGGACGATAGATCCCCAAAACTCAAATTTTGTAATTTACTTATCGATTAAATGTGCAGATAGGTCAATTGATGAACTATCGATTAAATGTACAAATAGGTCAATTGATGAACTATCGATTAAATGTTCAAATAGCAGTCAATTGTTGATTAATGTTCAAAAATCTTCCGTGACAATATCGATTGTAAATAATTGTATAAATACGCTTGACTTGTATGCTTGATCTGATCTGCCTGCCTGACTTGTTATCTGCTGTTGTCTGTAGAATACACTTTCTACACCTTACCCAGACTTCTTGATCGAGTTAGCAGAGTTGGGGACAACGGACCAGAATAGTCTATCGAGATTCTGAATCCTTGATCCGATCGATAAGTCACTGTCATATAATCGGATCTCTCCTTGAGACATAACAAATTGGCGACGGGGTAAAAAAAAAAGAACAATCCAAAGTCAGCCTTCAGCATCCAGATTTGTCATCAGTGTCCTTCAGCAACATTGGTCATTAATCAAACAGTAATTTGCATTACCGGTGCTGAATAAAAAAAAATGACTCTCCCTTCCGATCGATACAGCTGCTATTTGAAAGACAGTTGGAGTTTTTAGTCAAGTTACGCACGCAGCTGTTAAATCACTCATGCTTTGGAGATGCAGCGGAAGTGGATGGATTGATCTCTCAACTGCACACAGAGCTGGAAAATGATTGCAGCCCCAATGAATCCCCGATAAACCGTATTTCAAACGGTACAACAGTCACTCAAGATTCGCCCAGTGGTCCAGTCCTCTCCATTCCAGAAACATACCTGGTAATGGACTCAAACTCCATTATCCCCAAAACAGCATGTGCAGACGGTGACTTATCCAGCTCACAAACACACTCCCTGGTAAATGCTCATAGAATTGTCGCAATAACCACCCATGAAACAGAAAACAAATCGAGCAGTACACTGAATACAACTGCTTCAAATGGTTCTCATCAGTCTGCGACAGATGTTTTTGACAAATCTTATTATCAAGATTCTCTTTTACCAGAAAATATGTCAGATGCATCAAATGATGATCAAAAACTTAATACAATTTTGATAGATGCTAATTACCTTGATGATCGATTATCTACAAATAAGATTCCAAATAAATTTGGTCACAATATTTCAGAAGAATTAAACTTCGAACACCTCATATCAAGTGTTGTCCAGCCTCAAGACTTAATCACTTTCAGTCAATTCTCTGTTCAGTGCGATAAATATGTCTTAAATAAATTCAAGTTAATTATAACGTGGGCATATGAGGATCCAACACTGTTTCGTGGGGGAGGATGGACCTGGAAAACTTAAAATCCGGATATCAACTCCGGATCTTCTAAAAAGCGGAGGAGTGTTGGGGACGATAGATCCCCAAAACTCAAATTTTGTAATTTACTTATCGATTAAATGTGCAGATAGGTCAATTGATGAACTATCGATTAAATGTACAAATAGGTCAATTGATGAACTATCGATTAAATGTTCAAATAGCAGTCAATTGTTGATTAATGTTCAAAAATCTTCCGTGACAATATCGATTGTAAATAATTGTATAAATACGCTTGACTTGTATGCTTGATCTGATCTGCCTGCCTGACTTGTTATCTGCTGTTGTCTGTAGAATACACTTTCTACACCTTACCCAGACTTCTTGATCGAGTTAGCAGAGTTGGGGACAACGGACCAGAATAGTCTATCGAGATTCTGAATCCTTGATCCGATCGATAAGTCACTGTCATATAATCGGCGGCACTCACTTTGAGCCATAACAAACACAAGTCTCTATAGCGAATCCCTTCAGATTTGATATTGTGTCTCGTGAAATAATGCTCTAGTTGAGCAAACCACAACTCAGGATCATTACGATCAAATTCTGGAAGTCGGGATTTCGTAGTCATAACAGTGTCTATCTCCACTGGTGACAAATCCTCCAGATTATGGGTTTCTATTGAGTCTGACATGAGGTATATGACAAATATAGCAATAAAGTTAGCACAAAAAGTGGTTACTATAACACGAATAACTTGAGATAATACGGAATAAACTAGTTATATACTCAAATTAGTTTACGGATAATCAGGTCTACTTTTACGATTAAGTAAAAAAAAATGTTAATAACAGAAATGAGGTTAAATTTGTGTTCAAAAAGGGCTCACCAATTTCGTGCCTTAAAGTAACCCTCGTGCTATTGATAGAAGAAACCAGACAAGTAGTGAATAGGTCTTTATTTCGATCTCAGCGCGGTGACAGTGGAGCGCGGGATTATCTGTTCAGACAAACAAAGGCTCTCAACATTCAATATAAGATAATAGGGAATATAACGCTTATACAAAACAAGGAAGTGGATGAATACTTGAACAATACTGTTTTGGCATATGCTTGGCTGTTTGAGGTCAACTCTTAACCAACCAACCTAAGCTGTTACAAGTGTATATTTCACCTCGACATGCCGATGTAGTATGGCAAACTGGGCAGATGAACATTGATACTTTGTTCTCAATCGATTACGACCGACAGGTCAAATCAGCATCAGCTACTTTTATGTTGAGACCTTAGGTGATATCTCTCAACTACCCTAATTTGTTTAAGGTATGACTACTCAGTCTGATTTTCTTTTATTAAGGTATATTTTAAGCAAGAGCATTTTAATAGGTTAAAGAAAATAAGTGTAAACAAGGTATGAGTGAACATACAACTGACAAATGGAAGCGATTCAGGAAGGATCTGAGAGTATGAGATTATATGTGCTCATAAAATATAGTGCTAAAAACAGTATTATCATATACAATTGGCTATCTTCCTTTTTTATCGAAGCTATTGTAGCCCTTTTCATTTTTTTCTATCATTATTTTTTTAGGTATCATAGGGTA